TCAAAGAGTTGTTTGAAGAAAGTTATTTAAAAGCCTTAAAATGGTATATAAATATTATTATTATAAGTATTAAAAAATCTGGCCCTACAATTTCATTTGCATAGTGAGCTCCTCATTGTAGAAAGTCCTTCTGACTCACTTATAATTATAGTCTTAGAAAGCTGGCTGGAGATATTGAAATTTCAAGTGACTTGCCCATGGTCATATAGTGAGTGGGTGTCAGAAACAGAGCTTGAACCCAGATTCTCATGATTCCCTCGATCCGCCCAACTATATCACCTATCAGTAATTTTTATTATTCCTACTAAGACTAATCTCTCCAAGCCTCAGTTTCTTCATCAGTAAAATAAGGGACTGCCTAGATTGGAGGTGTCAAACACTTAGGGACCACATGCTACCCACAATACTCCTGAGTGTGGTAGGAACCAGAATAAAATGTAATTGGAAGTGTGTATCAAAATAAATAAAAATGCAATAAAACATGTTAACATGTAGTTTTCTAAGTCCATATCTGGCCTGCAGGGATTCTTACATATAGCTTAGTGGCCCCTTTTTCTATTTGGATTTTCTAATGTACCTTCTAACTCCCAAACAAGTTGTGGTATATGATTGTGATAGAACACTACTGTATTATGATGAATTCAATGATCTTAGAAAAACATGGAAAGACATACGTGAAATAATGAAGTGTGAAATGAGGAGAACCAAGAGAACATTGTATACAGTAAGAACAATTTGGTTTTAAGAACAACTGTGAATGAATAAGTAATTTTGACTATTATAAATATCCAAATTAACTATAAAGGACATATGAAGAAAGATGCTATCTGCATCCAGAGAAAGAACAGATAAACAGAAGTATGTATGGAAAAATTTTACATATATATACCTATTTGTATCTAATGGTAGATATCTCTAGGGCAGGGAGTGAAGAAAAAAATAGAAGTTTACACGATAACTTTATTACATATTTAAAAGGAATAGCAAGTTGTACATAATAGATTTGTAGTTTCACGTGCAATCATCTTTTTTTTTGTTACAATGCTTGTTTTATTCCATAAATTAAAAATAAAATAAAATAAAATAAAATAGAATGGGAAAGTATTATAAGGCTACCTCAGGCAGCATATGCATATTTTAATAGTGGCCTTCTGGAGACATTGCTACTACTATTGCTATCTAAACCATGAGTGACTCTAATAGTAAGAATGTCAGGTCATGTAGAATAACTAGATATGAAATTTCTGAGCAGATGACTTGGTGATTCTCAAATTACACCATGCTTACTTGTATATTGCCAATACAAACCACTTTTAATCACCTTTGGGAAACAGTGTAGTGCTTTTAATGACTTTTAACCTCCCTGAATTAAAAGTCTGTCTTCTTAATTTAAATATTCTTCTAGTGTTAATGCATGATTTTGTCCAGAAAAGGAGGTGATCTGGTCATATAGCAAGAGTGAGCTCTAACTTTTGGACAGCTTTCATCCTTTACTGGTAGCTATAGAATGCCAAGAGGTTTAGAGGAAAGTCCCCCTCCTGGTATAGCATTTACTGGAGGACAAGAATGAAAGTGTTATAGAATGAGGTATTAGTGGGTTTCAGTCTATACCTATGCTCTAGGTAGCATAGGGGATAGCGTTCTGGGCTTGGAGTCAAGACCCGAGTTCAAATACAGCCTCAGACACTTATTAGCTTTGTGACTGTGGACAATTCACTTAACCTGTCTGCCTCAGTTTCCTCATTTATAAAATGAAAGAGTTGGACTTGATGACCTGTAAGGTCCCTTGAAGCTCTAAATCTATGTTCCTGTGAGATAGAGGATAATAGATAGAGGAGTTAAGCTTTGTGTTTTGTTTGGTTTTGGTTTTTTGAGGGCCCGAATGGGTAAGATCACAAATTCATTGGAATATCAAAGAAGCCTGAGGGCAAAAAGCCTATTCTAAAACAAATTCCTCTTGACAAGATTTCACTCATTATTATTCTGCTTCCTATATGCTAAATTCAATTTTTTTCAGGACCTTCATGGTACCTTGCAGATGTCCTTGAAGTATCGCTTAGCATCCTTTTTCAGAGTAGATTGTGTCGGGGTAATGCAGCCCGGCTGACTGCAGGGGCCAGTGTTTGACAAGCTGTCGAAATCTTCCTCCTTGGCCTCTCCTGGAGAGAGGGAACGAACAATTCCGTTCATGCTGAGAGCTGAGCTCGGCCCCAACCAGCCCCTCCTGTGCATAAATTTGCAGAGTGACTTCCTTTTAGGAAATAAACGCTGAGGCTAATGGATTTCATTGATAATTCATCTTGAATATAAAATCGCTGCCTAAGAGGAGCAGGATAGAGAAGTGTCCTAATTTCTTCCTCTTCTTTTTTAGCCCAGTGAGTTAAGAATTTAATTTAGGGGAAGAGTCATGGCAATAAAATCACAGGCCTGATTCAACCGTGGGTTAAACTAAATTATCGATGCCTTTTAGTTTTTCATATCACATTTCCAGATATCCTCTTCCTCCCCTCCATCTCCACACCCACCATAAGCCTCCCCTTGTGACAGAGAAAAACAGACCAACACAGCTCCATGCTCAATGATGCGAACAATGTCACATATCCACAATCCTCCATATCTCCAATTGGTCATCATAATTATACCACATTCAACATCTCAACAGTGAGGTTTTAAATACTTCCAATTATGTTTAGAAAAGAAGAATAGGTGAAAAATAAGCTGGTTTTGTTTCTTAACTACTAAGCCATCGTTATTGTAAAGTGCTTAGCACAGTATCTGGTATGTAGCAAGTGCCATATAAACGTTAACTATTATTATTATTATTAACTATAAATTCTGCCAGACAAGCTCAGGGGCTGGAAGTAGGGAAGAGGCCGGATGGCTGGTCAAACACTTTACAAATATTATCTCATTCGATCCTCCTTTTTTTTTTTAAAGGCAATTGGGGTTAAGTGACTTGCCCAGGGTCACACAGCTAGTGTCTAGTGTTTGGTCTGAGGCTGGATTTGAATTCAGGTCCTCCTGATTTCAGGGCCGGTGCTCTATCCACTGTGCCACCTAGCTGCCCCTCATTCGATCCTCACAACAAACTGGGGAGGTATGTGTTTACATAACATATAGATGTTATCCCTGTTTTACAGTTGAGAAAACTGAGGCAGAGAGAGGTTAAGTGACTTGCCCAGGGTCACACAGCTAGTAAGTGTCTGAGGCTGGATTTGAACTCAGGTCTCTCTGACTCCAGGCCCAGCTCTCCATCCACCATGCCACCAACTTGCCTCTAGGTCAGAGCAATTTGCTGGTAGTCTGGGTCTTGTCTTAGCTCAACATTTGACAGAAGCCCTTAGTGTGTAAAGGGGATGATGATGGAAAGAATATAATTTTCAGCAGGGACCATGGTTCCTGTTCACTTGCTTACATGCTGAGTGAGTGGGAGAACCTTATGATTTCATTCATTTTACTACCAGGTTGAACTCCATTGGTGAGGATGGGCTAGCAAGGAAAAACACAACAAACCATTGGTATAAATTGGTATAAAATAGCCTTAAAAGTACAGTACTGAATGAAGTCTCCTTTCTAGGTTCAGGGCCACACACTAACAACTAGAGTTTTTCAACAATTAGATCTATCCCAGAGTAGAATGGGCTGCCTTGGAGGTAGAGGACTTCCTCTTCACCACCAGTGGTCTGCACTGAGAAGTTGGATGACCACTTATTGGGTATATAGTAGTAGGGATTATTTTGGGGGGGTATGAGTTAGGCTAGAGCACCACCAAGGTCCCAGCCAATTCTAAAATTCTTTAATTCTGCCTGCCACCCAGGAAGGTTGTCGATATACTAAGGGTCACCACATGTAATTTCATCAGTAAGAGTCCTGCCTCCACTGACACATTGTAACCTGATTTCAAGGGTTACTGAAGCTTGAAAGTTCTTCCTCCTGCAGCAGACCTATCAATGCTCCTTTCTGGATCCCACAATTTCTCCAGGGGCTGCAGCCAATTCTTACTTCACTCTTTAATTGGACTCACTCTTTGGACTTCTTCACCTCTTTAATATCTACTGGGCTCCAGTGTGGGTACCCTTCCTCTCCACCACCTTCACTCCCTTTAATGTGTTGTTGTCCTGATAGAATGTAATCTCCTTGAGGGCAGGGACTGCGTTTGCTTGGTTTTATATCCCCAGCGGAGCACTGTATCTGGCATATCATACAGGAAGTGCTTAATAAATGCCTTTTCTTTCTCTCTCCCTTCCTTTCTTCCTTCCTTTTTTTTTTTTTTGGTGAGGGCATTTGGGGTTAAATGACTTGCCCAGGGTCACACAGCTAGTGAGTGTTATGTGTCTGAGGTCACATTTGAACTCAGGTCCTCCTGACTCCAGGGCCACTGCTCAATCTACTTCGCCACCTATCTGCCCTCTTTCTTTCTTTCTTTCTTTCTTTCTTTCTTTCTTTCTTTCTTTCTTTCTTTCTTTCTTTCTTTCTTTCTTTCTTTCTCTCTCTCTCTGTCTCTCTCTCTGTCTCTCTCTCTGTCTCTGTCTCTGTCTCTGTCTCTCTCTCTGTCTCTGTCTCTGTCTCTCTCTCTCTCTCTCTCTCTCTTTCTCTCTCTTTCTCCCTTTCTCTCTCTTTTCTCTCTTTCTCTCTATGTATCAATGTCTGGCCAGTCTTCAAACAGTACACATGCAAATCCATCCTGAAGTCTTTCTAGCCTGGTACAGCTTGCCAGAATTAGTTCTTCACCTGCCATAACTAAGATTACCTCCTTTTCCACAACTAGGCAACAGAGAGGACTAGAGTGGAGGCTTTTCAGGCAGCAAACCTGAAATAATGCAGAGAGAAGAAGGGAGGCGGTCCTCATGAGATGCTTGTCTTTTCATCTGGCTGATTTCCAGCCCCCAAATAGCTCTTCTGTCTACTCCAAAAATAAGATCACATGAAAAACAAATACCCAAGTGCTTGTCCTTCAGTGTCCTCAGTGGGCTCCCTGACGTCATCCACACTTTGTCAGGGCCTTACCACTGTGGCCTTTACAATTAGCTCAGCTCCCTTCATCCGCTGGACCGGCCCCCCCACCCAGGAACTCCATCAGATATTGGAACAGGGTGTGGTATTACACTCAGTATTCCTCCTGGGAGCTCTGAGTGTTTTTCCTCCTGAGTCCTATTTACAGCTAGAGAGGGAACCTGTGTGAGACAGGGCAAATGGACCACTCAGTCCCTGACCTCAGGAGGCCGAGAGAGACTCTCTTGATTTAAGGGAACTCCCTCCTCCCAATTGTGAGTGGTGACTCCCTTCCTCCTGCAGCTTAGAGGCCCTGCTCCTGGTTGCTCAGTGCCTGATACAGAAGCGGACCCTGAAAGTGTCAGAGCCAGAGGAAGGAGGTGAGTTTATGGCCCCCTGAGGAGCGAGGATTCCTGGAGCCCAGCCTTTCACCAGTTCCTTTCCCAGCTGAGAGGAATGTAAAGGTTTCCAAAAGCCACCCTTTCCTTCTCCCTCCTAGATCCCTGTGCTTGTAACCAGCCAGCCCCTTTTCTCCCATTCTATTAAAATTGCACATAATCCTGGGCAGATGGCATGCGACAGACAGTGAAAGCCCTTGGCCTTTTGATTCTAGCATCCTGGGATTCATCTGCTCTCAGGAGGGCCTGTATCTAAGCTATGATTCCTGAAGGGGGAGGTTCTTCCTGCCAATTGAATTACCTTTGCTTATACAGGAGAAGCCATTTCCGAGGAAATCATTAAGCTCAATCCCATTACAGGGGAGATAGTGCCTGCTCTTAAAAAGCCCTGCAGGAAATGAGGAATAAATAAAATGTTGCCATTTGTCTCCTTAGTGTCTGGACAAAGGAGGGTGAATGGATATATAGAACCTCCCCTCCCCCACCTCCCACCTGCATGGCTTGTAAACTCTATTTCTTTTTATCAGCTCTAAAGATGGCTTCCTTTGGCTGAGAAAGGAGCAAGAAAGCGCAGCCACTGGGGAGAATTGCTCAGTAAGCTGTGGGAGGGGTTTGCAGACATGGCAGAGAAATACATTTCTGCATAGCCATGGTTTCATATGTGTTTGTGCCTCTTAACATGCGGACTAGCCCAGGCTTCTATGTGGATCCCTTTCTTGTTGTTATGGTTTCAATTCTTTATTTTTAAAGATAATAATAACTGACATTTACATGGCACTTGAAGGTTTAAAAAGCATTGCACATACATTGAGATTTTCTCTGGAAATAAAGGGCTAGGTTCAAAGCTAACCTTTGATGCTTACCACCTGTGAGATCTTAGACACGTTCCCTTAACCCCTGTGAGTGGCAGGTCCCTTATCTGTGAAATGAGGAGCTGGACTATGTGGCCGCTAAAGTCTTTCCCAGCTCCACGTCTTTGATTTTATGATCTCATTTGAACTTCACAACAAACCTATGAGTTAAAGTACGATAAATCTTAGTCCCATTTAAAGAAGTTAAATAGATTACTTAAGGTCACAAAGCTAGTAAGTGAAAGAGACAGGATTTGAACCCAGCTCCCTCTTGATCTTATGTTCAACATTCTTTCACTGTACCATGTTGCTCTTTTTCTCGAACGGAGGGAAAGTGGTTCTAGCTCTGATGTAGAAAACGGAACAATTCACTTTGGGAGGCCATTAAACCCTCCACTAGCTGGAATTCTATTCAAGGGCTTATTTTATTGGATAACCCCTCATTTGGTTCCTCTTGAGCAGGACTTCCATTTAAGCCTTGGACAAGTGATTTCCATGTTGACTATTGGTTGTCAAAACCCTAATGGGTACAGGGTACTTGTACCTCTGTGTCTAACTTTACTTTGTCATCTAGAATTGTCCCAGAGCACCTTCCTCTTCCCCCACCTCCCCACTTCACACTATATGAGGGAGAGGTATAATCAGTTTACATTCTAGATAAGGTTGGCCCATGAGGATGATCCCTGAAAGCTAGAATAGGTTATTATAAGAAATTTTTGAATTTTCATCCCTGAAAATCTCAGAATTATGGAAAACCACCAAAGAGAAGCAGTATGGCACAGTAGATAGAGGCCTGGCCTTCTAGCCAGGGGGACCGTGGTTCAAATCCTATTATGGACACAGGCTAGTAACCATTGGGGCAAATCACTGAAGCCCTGCATGCCCCAGACTGCTCTCTGAGATTAAAAGGTACACACAGAAGCCCATTTACTTCTGTGGAGGGAATTCCCTACACTGATGAAGTCACAGGACAGAACAAAATTTAAAACAAAAAAGTACCTGCAGATCTGCTCAGTCTCTCCCACCCATCCCTGTCATTCCTACCTCCCTGATCATACTTTTTCTATTCTTCACGTCACCCTTCATTTCCATGTATGCCAAGCGCTCTTCCCAGTCCCTTAGTCCCATTTGTGTCTTACTCGTAGGACCTAGACTTAATCCCACTTCTTAAACCTTCTAAATCTGCTCCAGCCCACAATGAGCTCTGTCTTTTCTGAACTCCTACTGGCTTAATAGTAAGACCATATAGCTGGACACTTAGTTGTTTTCTCATAATTTCATGTCTGTTAGTACTTTCTCCCAGGGAGACTGTAAGTATAGGGGCTCAAGTCACGCTAATGGTGTCTTTGTTCCTCTCAGCATTCTCACCTAACGTTGGGGTAGACAGTCAACAAATGGTTTTTGATGTATTGGCAGACATTTGCCCTGAGTGGTTTAGGGAGGTCGGACTAGATGAGTTATTAAAAGTCCTAACATTTCTAGGTTTCTATGAAGCTTCATTCCCCTTTCCATTCATTATTTACTTACCCAGAGCTCACCACTGATGTTTCCTACTTCCTGATTATACAAAACAAACAGCTCAAATTATGGGCCTTAAAGGAAAAGAAAACTTAGAAATTCCTGAGATGATTTCCCTCAGTCTCATCTGAGAACTGCACTCCCAATGGCTTCCACAAGGTGGTCACTCATCCTGGGTCAGGACAGGAAATACTGTAGAGCTTCTCTGAAGTTGGGTACAACCACTGTCCAAGGAACATCGCCCTACACAGAAACAGCAAAATATGTCAGAGAGCATCTTCCAAGGAAGGATTCCCTACCAATGGAAATCTGTCTATCAGTCTGTCTGTTTGCTAATAACTAAGGTGGTCTTTTCCCAAACATTGCTTGGGGATGGGCCTCAGGCATCATTGGCCACATACATCATTAGTGACGGGGCTCTGTGTTTGCTGGCTGTCACCATAGAGGTGTCCACAGTGTCTTTGCCCCTGTTGCCTGAGGTAAGACTAAAGCTGGCAACCTTTCCTCGTAGAGTGGTTTACAGGGTTGGGAAGTGACCAGGTTCTGGTCTTAAAGGTTTACAGAATCACAGGATCTCAGAACTGGAAGGAAGCTCAGAGGCCATTTAGTCTAACCCCTACCTGAACAAAAATCCCTTCTAACTTGTCCAACAAGTGGTCATTCAGCTTCTGCCTGAGGACCTCCAGTGAGGTAGGTAAGCCTCGCCATCGTGCTTTCGGACAGCTCTAATTACTAGAATATTTCTCCTTTTTTTTTTTTTAAAGTTAGGCAATGGGGTTAAGTGATTTGCCCAGGGTCACACAGCTAGTAAGTGTTATGTGTCTGAGGCTGGATTTGAACTCAGGTCCTCCTGAATCCAGGGCCAGTGCTCTATCTACTGTGCCCTGTAGCTGCCCCAAGAATATTTCTCCTTACGTCAAATCGAATCCTGTCTCTCTGCAACTCCCATTCATTTGCTTTAAAGAAGATAAAACCAAAATCATGAGATATAAAAGTTAAATATTTTTAGCAATATTTGCTCATTCCCATCAAATCATCTTTGTTGAGGTATTCTTATCTACTGCCAGTAAGCTGATAATCTCTGAAATTCTCATTTCTACTTCTTGTGCTATGGATAGATAGGATGCATGTCAACATCTCCTTGACCAGCTGACCTCTACGGGATATTCCAGCTTTACATCTATGATCCTTTGACCCTGAAGAGATTGTGTATTTGTCCAAGTTTACATGCTGCCAGGGAGTCATAGCATTCCGAGCCAATAACAATTTGTCTTGCAGTAGGCAAACAGATAGCTGATAATATTATTTTCACAGCTGTCACATCGTCTTAGGGTGGTATACGTTATCCTCAGGGACTATCCACCCCTCTTAGTCATGTGGCTGGATTTTAGAATATCATCATTTTTTCTTCAGTTAATGGTTTATATGAATCTATGTGTAAATAACCTATGCAAGGTGTATTCTTTGAGAAGGGACCAAGCACCTGGTTTTTCATTTTGACTAATTTGTCTGTCTGGGATTTGTTTGCCTGTGTGGCTCGTGGGAGCTTGAAGATGAAATTAAAGGTCTGTCTAATGTGCATGTAAATGTATTGCACCAGAATAAGCCCAAATTATTTTATTAAGAAAATGCAGGGTGTCTGGTTTGCATTCCCAGTTAGTTGTTTACATGTCGACAGAAAGGAGAAATTTAAGGCAAGTGCAAAAAAGTCAGTCTCTGGAGTCAAGGACCAGAAGCCAGGTTAAACTTAGGATGCCCAGAGAAAAAAGAGAGTACTGAAGAAAGGGAAAAGCAATGGAGTAATGGAAGGATTTGTGGATGAAAGGGAAATGAAAAAGATTTCCCTGTTAAGCTCAACGAAACCCAGTGCTTAGCTTTTTCATGATGGCTCAGAGAGAAAGGGATATTTCTAGAACTGCTTTTCAGATGCACTGACCACAGAACAACTCAAAACAGAGCTTTCCTTCCACCTTTCTCAAGGTTCTGGCAGAATATCTCCAGAGTCATTTTCTGTAAGTGGAACTCTGGGTGCTCTCCTAAGCCAAGCATTTTCCCAGAATGAGGGAAGAAATGAAGGCCTTTTGCTTTTCCCCAAAATATGTCCTTTTCTCTCCTCCTCTGATTTCCTTAAGGATCATTAGGGGAAAACTCAATTCTTAATCACTGCAGATGTCCTCCAGGTCTGGATGTACTCTGAGGGAATCTGGAGTTTCTGTGGTCCAAATAGCATCTTTGGTATTTTTTGGATCAGATGTTTAAAAAGCAGTTAGTTGCAAGCCTTAGTCTACTGAGGTTTCACAATAACACTCTCTTAGGGATACATGCTGGCTTTATGGAAGAGGCCACTTTTGATATTTCCTAAAGTCCCATCTGTTTGTCACAGATGAACCTAGAACAGGGGTGGGGATCCTGCGGCCTCAAGGCCCTCTAGGTGGCCCTCTAGGTCTTTAAGTGCAGCTTTTTGACTGAATCCCCTTAATAAAAGGATGTGTTCTGTAAAATTTGGACTCAGTCGGGGAAGCTAGAAGGCACAGTGGATTGAGCTCTGGCCTTGGAGTCAGGAGGACCTGAATTCAAATCTGCCCTCAGACACTTGACACTTACCAGCTGTGTGACCCTGGGCAAGTCACTTAATCCCCATTGCCTCACCAAAAAGCAAACAACAAAACAAAACAAACAAAAAAACCAGAACAAAACCCAAACTTGGACTCTGTCAAAAGGTTCCCCACCTCTGATCCTAGACTGAATCAAATTCTTCTCTACAGTGAATACTATAGAGCGAGATGTCAGAAGATCATTTTCATCCTGATTTTGGTTACTTAATGGATTCATGCATCACTCATGAGGGCACTTCTTTCATCATCCATCATTTAAAAAATAAATACATGGACCTGGCTAAAACAAAAATGGAGGCTAAGGAACATCAAAGTGAAACCCTTTTTTTTTCATCTCGATGACTCAATGATCATCCTATACTTAATATTTTGATGAACCACATAATATATCACAAAAAGAGTGCTGAACTTTGGAGTTACCAGATCTGAGTTTGATCACCAGCTGTGTTGCTGATGACCTGGGTGACCTTGGGTAAATCACTTACTTCTTTGACTTCACTTGTCTCATCTGTAAAATGAGTGGGTTGGACTTCCAAGGTCCCTTTTAGCTGTAAATCTATGACCTTATCAGCTAGGCACTCGTTGCAGTTTGAAGCCAGTTCATAAAGTGACACTTGTGAATACCGATCATACATATAAACAAGAGTCCTATCTCCCTCACATTGGCTTGACCATGTCTACATTTCTGTATTGGGTTCCAGCTAATATAACCACATACCTGTATGATTTCATTGATACAGGAAGCACCTGGAGGATGCCAAAAGCAGATCAGCACCTTCTGTACAACTTATAGAGTATTAGCTGCTTGAGGTGCTGAGAAGGGAAGGGAAGTGACAGCCAGTAGGGATCAAAGGCAGGACCTGAACACAGGTGTTCCTGGCTCCAAGACTCAATTTCTTTCCCCTATGCCATGCTGCCTTTTGTGGCACATTAAACATAAAAAATAATAAAAGTGGTGTATTAAACTCAGGCAGCTAGGTGGCACAGTGGATGGAGTGCCAGGCCTGGAGTCAGGAAGACTCACCTTCCTGAGTTCAAATCTGGCCTTAGACACTTCCTAGCTGTGTGACCCAGGGAAAATCATTTAATCTCTGTTGGCCTCAGTTTCCTCAGCTGTAAAATGGGGATAATAATAGCGTCTACCTCCCAGAGTTGTTGTGAGGATCCAATGAGATAATATCTGTCGAGCTCTTAGCTCAGTGCCTGGCACGTAACAGGCACTTAATAAATGCTTGTTCCTTTTCCCTCCTTTTACTCTCGTACTATTAATTGCAAAGCCTTACTGAATTCACAGTAGCATTCTGTCTTTGTGTCTTTTTTTCAACTGCTAGCTAGGTGGTGAAATGAATAGAGTGCCAGGTCTGGAATCAGGAAAACTCACCTCTCTGAGTTTGAATCTGCTCTCAGATACTGACTGACTGTGTGACCTTGGGCAAGTCACCTCACTCTGTTTGCCTCAGTTCCCTCATCTGTGAAATGAGCTGGAGAAGGACATGGCAAATCACTCCAGTATCTTTGCCAAGAAAACCCCAAATGGGGCATGAAGAGTTGGACACGACTGAAACAACTGAACAACAAAATCTTACCCAGGATGGTCAGGCAATGTTATCATGGTTAAAAACCAAAAGCTGGGAAATGAGAAAACAGGAGTTTCTGTTGACTCTATATTACATGATAGCTGTGTGACCCTGGGCAAGTTTCTTCACTTGCCTGGGCCTCAGCTTTCCTTAGTGGTAAAAAGGAGTTTTTACCTTTCCTTAGCAGTAAAAAGGGTTGGATTATTTCCAAGGTATCTTTGAACTAAAATATTTTATTATTTTATTAAATATTATCAGAGTTCCTACCTCATATGGAATACTAAAAATCAGAGCACAAGAAAATTAAACAAAAACAATGCCGTCTCTCTGAGATGAATCAGAGGGGCATGTGGTGCCTAGGGTAATTATTATCCATTATCATCCCGTTCAACCCACTCATTTTCCAGATGATCTTGTGATGTGTAGAAGTGGCTGCTGAAGAAGAGTTCCATTTGATAAAACTTGCCTCTGTTATGATGGAATGCCTTTTCAGGTGAAGCTGATGCTACTAACTTAGCCTCAGAATTTTTGAGCCTCCAAGTGCTAATAAAAGAGACTCTGAGCCTCTTAGATTCAGAAAGGTAGTTTCTCTTTGCATCTGCCATGAGGAATTCTGATATTCCTTCATACAGGGTAGTAAGTTTCTCCCTAAAGCCACTCTGGTCCTGACAGCTGCCCACATGAGTCAGGGATGGGATGGGAATGCTTTCTAGTTCTGACAGGACAGTCTATAACTTGAATGAATCAGAAACCAGGGTAGCTGGCTGGGTGAGCGCATGCATCCTATAATTGGATGCAAAAAACATTTATTAAGCTCCTACTATGTACAAAGTCACTATGCCTGTGAGGCAATGAAGATACAAAGAAAGACCAAAACATAAAATAATCCCTGCCCTCAAGGAACTTGCATTCTCCTGGGGGACACAACATGCTCCCTAGTACAGAAATGCTAAGTCTTATGCAAAGGGGAAAGAGAATGCTATTGATTGGAGGGAAATGATAGCTCTTTGAAAGGCCTCCTGTAGGAAGAGCTGGTACTCAAGCTTTGCTTTGAAGAAAGCTATGGATTCTTCAAGTCAGAGGGGAGGAAAGAGTGTGTTCCAGACATGGGAGAATCACTTATGTGAAGGCATAGAAATGGAAGATGGTGTGTTGTATGCTGGGAATAACAGGCCAAAACAAATAAAAGATACACACAGCAGGTCTTAGATTTCCCTGAGGAGGAGAGAACCTCCCTAATTACAGAAGACTGCTAACCACATTTCCATTTAGCCTTTCCAAGACTACCTCCTCAACCAGTGTCTTTCATCACGGTCCCTTCTCTCACCTTCCTGTCAGTGGCTTATTCTGGTGCAGACAGCCTCCCACACATGCCGTTCTATTCAGGTGGACTCTAGCAAGGCGCATACTGCCTTGTAGGTGCTCACTGGAGAGGCTTTTTTCTGACATGCTTGCCAGTGGACAAACCTAGGTTTTCTGTGATAATTTACTTGTCCATTCAGGTAAGGGATGAGTGAAATGTGCTCTCAGACCTGACCACGTCTCTTCCTGACCCTGATCTGGGGAGTTGCTATTTATTTAATATTGCCCCATTCTCTTGAGGTTTAGTAACAAAAGCAGACAGACAGACAGACCGATGGACACCTACACACACGTGCACACTGGCCAGATGATAGATCTGAAAGGGAAAAGAAAACAACAGCTAGCTCTCTTTCATCCTGTGATTTGCCGATTTCGGAGAAGCTTTTCTGAGCTATGACCTGCTGTTTCCTTGGTGACCAAAGCCTCAAAATAAACAGGAGGCTGCTCAGCTGAGGCCAGTGGTCCATTCAGCTGGGCCATCTGCCCTAAGACAAACCACGTTACAAAAAAACAAAAAACAAAAACCCTTGTGGGAGCAGGCTCCGCTGGTGCCTGGTGACTGCCTAGCCCTCAGTCCCCTTGGCCCGTTGCTCCCTTCATTGGTTTCGAAGTCTGGCAGATGAAAGTCTAGAGTTACTTCACATCTCTGTTCTCAGTCAAGTTTTCTTAAATGTAGTGTGTGTGTGTGTGTGTGTGTGTGTGTGTGTGTGTGTGTGTAGTATGCATGAGAAAGAATTGTCTGGAATTGCTCACTGTGTATATGTGTGGGAAGGGTTGTCTAGGGGGGAATTGCTCTCTGTGTGTGTGTGTGTGTGTGTGTGTGTGTGTGTGTGTGTGTGTGTGTGTGTGTGTACGTGCATGGGGGAAGGGTTGTCTGGGGGGAATTGTTTGCCCAGTGATAAACAAGAGCCACAGAGAGCTAGAGACCCAGGGAGTTCAGCTGAATCCTCACCCTGCCTCTCTTTTCCCACACAGAGTTCTGGGACCAGTAGCTTGCTCTGTGGCACTGGCTGGAGGAATTCCAGCAACCTGATGTGCATGCCATAGCTCGCCACCTTTCCCCACAAGGAGCTGCAATAACTCAGAGGTTTCTGAAGCCAGGAAAGGGCTTCTGAGGAAGCAGACGCCTGAAGCAGCGGCAACAGGAGCAGCAGCAGCAGCAGCACCCAAGCCCGGTGACAGAGGGAAACTGCAGATCCCGAGGCAAAAAGGAAAACAGCGACTGAGTGAACCTGCCTTCCCCACCGGCGCTAGTTCCTGCTGCCGCAGGTAAGGTTCCGGTTATCTTGGGCAGCAGGCGGAAAAAAAGTTCTGTCTCCGTCTTGAGCTTGGTTTCTGTGCGCCTGTGTCGGTGAGTGCTATCTGGAAGATGGAGGGGGAGGGAGAAAAGGAAGGGAATGAATGAAGAGGAAAGTCACTGCTATTAAAGTTGTAAGCAGACACCGCTGGCTGTCAGTGTTCAAGGCGGCTAATGTTTAGAAACTTACGGACATCTGGGTAGAAAGCAAGACGCAGCTTGGTCTAGGCTCGAGGGGGAAAATAAAGTGTTATTCACTGTTCTCTGGGCAGAAGTGGGAAAGTGAACCTTTCTTTTAGGGACTGTAGGAACAGCAATATGAGATAGTCATTGCATTGTCACCATCGCCCCATCCCTAGCCCTGAGTCAGTGATGATTAATTAGTGGTGCAGGAATCTTCTCACCGCTTACTTTCCCCATGTGGTCTTTCTTTGTCATTCTTCCTCAGCAGGAGAAGGTTGTGGTCATCGGTGAGTTTGGGCAGCACTATCTTACCATGCATGTCTCACCATTTCGGATAGCTTTGAAACTCGGCCATCCCCCAAAGCCGTCCCTCATTGTGGATGGCTTGCACTTATCAATGTTGCTTATGCTAGCGGAGGGCTGGAATGTGGTGTGTGGGTACTTGCATGACTGCTCAAAGTTCAGACGGGTGGCATCTTGGCAGCTCCATAGGTATTTTTACTGCGTACCTTTAACAGTTTCCATTAGACAAAGTAATGGGTTAACCATATTTTTCATGCTCTTTTCTGTCTCATCTCTACTTTTTTTAAAAGTTCTTAAATTTTTTTTATTAATGTCTGTTTTTTACATTATAATTTTTTCCCTATAAATTTTTCCCTATGCCATCCTCCACATAAACCTTCTTTTGTAACAACAACAAAAACAAAAACGTCCAGCAAAATTTGCCAATACAATTGCATCCGTATCTGCCAGATTTGGTATCCATAGTCATCTGATCTCTGGATTTAATATTGGTCATAGCATTTATTTTGAATTCAGCTGTCTTTTTGTTTTGGTTTTATTTACATCATTGTTGCCATTGTATGTTCTTTTTTCCCCTGGTTCTTACTTTACTCTGTATCAGTTCATACAGGTCTTCCTGTGTTTCTTTGACTTCCTCATATTTGTCATTTCTTAGAGTGTAATAATATTCCATTACATCCACAATCTGCAGTGCATTTATTCCTTCCCCAATTAATGGACACTCACTTTGTTTCTACCATTTTTTTTTGCTGCTACAAAAAGTGATTCTGTGAATATTTGGCATATATAATATGCTTTGCTTCTTTTTCCAATAAATGTTTCATCTGGGAGCTCTTGGTCAGCTTGGAAAATAGACCAATGGGATAAGAAGAGAAATGAATTTGGGGAAGGCATGGGGATGAATGTACTTAGGAGTTATCTTAGGAATTATGACAACAGACATTCTTTGGAGTTCCAGGGCTGGATAAAACTAATTTACTTATTGATTTTTGCCAAGAATGAAGATGAGGCAAGTTATAACTTACCTGAGGCAATGGGATGATTGCCCAAATAGCCTGTAAGGTAAGCTGAACTTTCTGTACTATGCTAGAATGAGGATCAGGAGTGATTTAAGATTCCTGGAAACCACCTCAAGGGCTTAGTATTAGGTGTGCCAGCTTGGCTGATGTTAGCTGATAAACAAGGTCCCACCACGTAATAAGGACCTCCTGAAATAGCAAATAATCATAGGAATTTGTCAAGTGATTAAAGATTAGCTAGGGTAGGAAACTAGGACATGTTACTTACATTACCATCTTTGATAATGAAAAAGGGAAGTTTTCTCTGTAGAATTCACATGGTGCTTCATCCTAGTACTCAAAGGAGCTTTATTATAGTAGTATTTTTTATCATCACCATCATCATCATCATCATCATCATCATCATCATCTGGTCTGGACCTGTGAATTTCTTTTTTTTTTTTGTGGAGAACTTCCTTCACTGATACAGATCAACCATTCATTTGTAACTTATAATCGGGGAGTTGCTTGGGACATTGAGGGGTTAAGTGACTCTCCTGGGGTCACACAGCTTGAATCTACTTCTTGATTCTAAGACTGGGTCTTTACCTTCTTCACCAGACCACATCTCATATAAAGTGGCTTTATATAAGCAGCCAATTAAACCAGTTAGAGCCTAATGCTAGTGCAGCCAAAGTTGAAGATTTTTTTTTTCACTCTCTAATAGACTCTGCCCTATTTCTTAGCTCTGTACCTTTGCCCCTGCAGCTCCCTGTCTGTGGAATGGCCACTATCTTGTCTTCAAATGACAATTCCTATCCATTCTGCGAAACTGAGGCAAATACTACCTCCTTCAGAGACCATTCACTGATACCTTTGTTCAGCACTGACCTTGCTTTTCAGATCACACAACATGTTGCTTGTACTCTCTAATGCATATATCATATTATATAATGTATTACACTATTCTGTTTCTCTCTCTCTCATTCTCTCTCTCTCTCTTTCTCTCTTCTCTCTCTCTCTCTCTCTCTCTCTCTCTCTCTCTCTCTCTCTCTCACCTTCCCCCTTTCTCCATTAAGCTGTAATCTCCATGAGGGTCAAGACTATGTTTTAATTCAATTTCAACTTCCCCTAGAGCCTAGAAGTGTGTTGCACACAGTAGGCACTTAACAAATGTCTGCTCAACAGACTCTCTGTATAGGTCACTGAGCTCTTCCTCCAATATAGATTACATACTTAATCCAATTCAACAGCAATTTTTTAAAGCACTTGTTATCTTTGAGGCACTCTTCAAGGAGTTGGGGTTACACCATAGTTCTTACCCTTAAGATTATCGTCTAGTGAGAGGGGGGTATATGCCATGTGTGCAAATGCATATGATACAAGTTGGAATATGAGGAGAAAAGAAGAAATCCAGATGTAGTACAAAAGAAAATTTGAAGGAGAGATCCTTCATTTGGGAACTCGGGGAAGGCTTACTGTTGGAAATAACCTTCAACAGGCAGAATTGAAGAGCAGGTGTGCTTCAGGCATGGGAGGCAGCCTATGAGCAAACATGAACATAGGAGAGGGAAGAATGAGTTTGGTGAAGAGCTAGTGGTCCAGTCTGTCTGAACTATAGAAGGCGGGAAGGAGAAGAATGTGAAATACTACTGGAAATGGAGGCTAGAGCCACATTGTGGAGGGCCCTAAATGTCAGGCTTGTACTTTCTCTTATAGGGAATGGGGAGGGCACCAGGACTGGTATTTGAGCAGGGGCATAAACCTTCAGCCATGCTCTAGAAAATTCTTTTTTTTTTTTTGACTTTGGATAAGCTATTTGGTTTGGAGAAGAGAAAGGTAGGAGGCAAATGCCCAGGTGACATAATGTGGACAAACCAGTGTAAATCCATTAGAAAATCAGTAAGTGTTTATTAAGTACTTACTATACTAGGCACTGTGCTAAGTGTGGAAGATAAAAAGAAAAAGCAAACGGTCTCTCAATGAGCTTGCATTCTAATAGAAGAGACAGCATATATCAATACATCTAAGATGAATGCAGAGTAGATGGAAGGTAGCCTTTGAAGGGAAGCCCCTAGCAATGGGGAGGACTGGGAAAGACCTCCTAAATCTATCTCAAATATGGGGAAAAAAAGGTTGCAAGCACATGCATTACTGGAGGTGAGGCCAATGCTACCTTTAGGAACCCTTCCTTGACACCCCTACCTCTAAGTCAGTAATGCCTTTTCCCTTTGTAATTTATATAATACATTGTTTTTAACGAGATAACATGCAAAGTATTGTGAAAATACATGGTAGCTATGGTTATTATTATTATAGTTATCTATGTATACGTCTTTTCACCAATGGACTGAATGCTCTGGGACAGCATATATTTTACCTAAACTTAGTATCACTCCCAGCCACACACATATGCACGGGTACATCCAGGCAAACCCATTTATATTTGTAAGAAAGTTTGTTGTTATTATCCAGTCATGTTTCATTCTTCATGACCCCATTTGGGATTTTCTTGGCAAAGATCCTGGAGTAGTTTGCTATTTCTTTCTCCAACTTATTTTACAGATGAGGAAACTGAGGTAAACAAGGTGAAGTGATTTGCCCAGGGTCACACAGCTAGTGAATATCTGAGGCCAGATTTGAGCTTAGGGTGAGTCTTCCTGACTCCAGGCCCAACGCTTTATTCACTGTGCCACCTAGCTGCCCCCAAGTAAAATTTAGTTGTCTATTAAAAATTTAACTTTAGTTAAGTTTTAGTTTTTTTAGTTGGATGGATAGAAATAACATCCTTAGTGATCGTGTAGTCAATGAATGTTTTCCTTAAAAAAATTAAAAATAAAATTCCCTGGCTGCACACGCCTAAGCTTCTGGCATTTAACACAGATGATTAAATGAATGACACATTGTTATAATGCAGTTACCCAGAGGTAATCTGGGCTACCTCTCATCAGTCTGGCACCTTTGGGAAGGACTTCTTTTCTGAGGGTAGGACAAATTGAAGTCACTTGTGGAGACCACACCCCATGGCAACCCAGATTTTTCCCCAGCTCTCTTGGAGGAGGAGCAGACTCGACCAATCGCCAGGTACATTTTCAGGCTCCCATGCCATCAATGCCTGTGTCCCTGGACTGATGCCTGGCTGCATAAGCCTCCTAGAGACAGTGGTACTTGAGAAATTTGGCCCTCAAATAAGAAAGGAAATTCCATTGTCTAATGAAAAACGGAGCCTTAGTTAACTAACCAACAATTTGCTGAGGGCAATTGTCTTTATTGAGTCACATAAGCTCATGGAGAGTGAGGATTTGGCACACAGTAGGTGCTTAATTAATACTTGTTTAAGTGTTGAATGATTGACTGTGATGGATAGCGTGCTAGACATAGATTGGGGTTCAAATCCTGCCTGAGAAACTAGCTTTTTGACTGTGGGAAAGCCAGAGAGCCTCAGTTTCCTCATCTATAAAAGAGGAAATAATAAAAGATTGCAGGAG